TACACATACACACACACATACACACACACATGAGCCAGGGTTATGGCTTACTGGGTAAAGTCACTGCCTGCAGGCACCAGTTTTTGTCCCAGCTGCTCCACTTCCAATCCAGCTCCCTGCTAATGGCCTGGAAAACGCAGCAGAAGACGGTCCAAGAGTTTGGGCCCCCACTACACACGTGGGAGAGGCAGATGAAGCTCCTGGCTCCTGGTTTCCAAACCCGGCCATGGCAGCCATTTGGAAAGTGAACCAACAGAAGATCTCTTTCTGTCTCTCCCTCTCTCTATTTGTAACTCTTATTATCAGATAAACAAATAAATCTTTAAACACATACACACAAAATAGGTCTTGTTAGTTTTCAAACTTAAACTGAATATTTACCATTATGAAACAGAAGATATTATCATCTTTTTCAAAATGAATATAAAATACGAGATGAGGATATAGATATATATATTTAGGATACAGATATATATAGTTAAAGCTATATTAAAGATGCAGAAAGTGAGAAATATATATACATATGTATATACACATGTATCTTCATTTTATATTATAAAATAGTTCTTTAAAAGGTATGTACATGGAGCAAATTCCTATAAATAAATGTCAAGGATACTTGTTCCTAAATGTAATTCCAAATCAATCTACTTAACGAAGTACCAAATCACCAACTAACTTTGTAATCAAGATTGCCAGCTTTAAGATGTGCCTTAGAGTGGGGCATATCTGCAAATGTAGATCTTCAAGATCATTTCCAGCAATTTTATTTAAGAATATTGGATTTATATTATTTCAAATGTAGTGAGTTGAACAAAATCAATATTGAACAACATACCTTTCAGATAAATTAACGCTTTGGTGAAGAGGCTCTAATTTATGACATGTCTCTATGCTGTCAACAGATGTCGAAGGCAATGAGTCTGATTGCACCTTGTTGGCATCACATAAATTAGCATCGTTTCTAGGTAGGGTCTTTCTGAATTTTCGTCCTAAATCCGTCAATAGGACATTCGTCAACATAACTTTGAGTTGCCTGTTATACACATAAATAATTAATACATATGGTACTAAACAATGCATAACACATTAATTCACCATAAACTATAACATGAATAGCTCTAGGACTTCTAAATTGTTAATTCTTCAAGCAATTACCTAGAGTAGTAAATATTATAAGTAAAATATATACATATATATTTGCCTAATAATTCTCACATATATGTTTAAAAGAAAAGGCTATTTCATTTAAGCTAAAATTGTCTTCAGAATTCTGTCAGGTACACCACAGCTGTGCACATGAGTATGTATACCTGTTAGATTCCTAGCAACCCATTCACAATTATTCACACTATTAGTGGAAGGACAACCTGGAGTCGCAAATCTTATCACAGTCACAACCCTGTTCTGCACTAAAAATGTGTTTTGTTTTAGCACATGTGGATTTAAAAAATGTTACTAAAATTAGGGGTGAAGGGTGGGCATTTGGCACAGTGGCTAAGATTGTTAGTTGGGATGCCCACATTCCATATCAGAGCACCTGGCTTGCAGTCCCAGCTACAGCTGCTGCAGGCATTTAGGGAGTAAACCAGGAGATGGAAGATTTCTCTGTCTCTCTCTGTCCGCTTTTAGAATAAATTTAAAAATTAAGTAAATAGAAATTTAAAAAAATAAAGGGTGGCTCAGGATTGAGCCATACTACTCTTCAGCATTAAAAGAAAAATAAAGATGATGATGATGCAATAGTAATCTACAAGTTAGGCCTATACAGTCTTAAGACATAATTTTATTAATTTTACTTCTTTTTTCTTAAGGATTTTTATTTATTTATTTGAGAGGCAGTGTTAGAGAGTGAGGAGAAGGGGCAGAGAGAGAGGTCTTCCATCTGCTCGTTCACTTCGAAAGTAGCCTTAATGGCTGGAGCTGGGCAGATCTGAAGACAGGAGCCAGGAGCCAGGAGCTTCTTCTGGGTCACCTACATGGGTGCAGGGGCCACCTTCCACTGTTTCCTCAGGCCATAAGCAAAGAGCTAGATCACAAGATGAGCAGCTGAGACACAAACCGATGTCCACATAGGATGCCAGCTCCACAGACAGAGGCTTAGACTACTTTGCCACAGCACCGGCCCCAATTTCTTTTACTTCTGAAATAAATCCATTTAAATCATTTTTACCTGATAACTACAAACAGTTCCAACTTTTTGCCTCATCTTTTGGCCATCACCTACTCATATTCAACATATCTCTATGTGGACAATACTTGAAGAACTAGGTTCAGTTGTTTTCGCATGGAATATAGTTTTTACAATGATGTGAAAAGCTACGAAGTAAACTCATGACACTATCAAAGAATGGCTGAAAGAATTGGAAATCAGAGAGTGTATTTTACTCTTTGGTAAACAGTTTGAGGCAGTTTCAGTTTGCTTACTTAACAAGCACAAGAATATTTAAGAAACAGCAAGCAAAATTTATTTGTTAATAAGATGAAACAAGATATCTTAAAAAAAAAAAATCAGTTGTTTCCAATAGACACTTAGGGCTATATCCTCCAGCCAACAAGAAGGGGGACGTGGAAAAAAGTCCTTAGGGAGACTTAAATAGGAGGCAACGAAGGCTGGCAACGCGGCTCATTAGGCTAATCCTCCACCTTGCAGCGCAGGCACACCGGGTTCTAGTCCCAGTTGGGGCGCCGGATTCTGTCCCAGTTGCCCCTCTTCCAGGCCAGCTCTCTGCTGTGGCCAGAGAGTGCAGTGGAGGATGGCCCAACTGCTTGGGCCCTGCACCCCATGGGAGACCAGGAGAAGCACCTGGCTCCTGGCTTCAGATCAGCGTGGTGGCTGGCCATGGCGGCCATTGGAGGGTGAACCAACGGCAAAGGAAGACCTTTCTCTTTGTCTCTCTCTCTCTCTCTCACTGTCCACTCAGCCTGTCAAAAAAAAAAAATTTTTTTTAGATAAAAAAAAAAAGAAGGCAATGAAACTCTAAACATGCTGAATTTTTTTTAAGATTAAGTTTAAAGTGCCTGTTTTTAAATTATTAACAATGGGCCTGCATTGCTGCATAGCAGGTAAAGCCACCAAGTGCAATGCTGGTATCCCATATGGGTGCCAGTTCAGGACCCATCTGTTCCACTCCCAATCCAGCTCCCTGCTAACATGCCTGGGCAAGCAGCAGAAGATAGCCAAGTGCTTATGTCCCTGCACCCATGTCAGATATCAGGAAGAACCTCTTGACTCCTGGCTTCAGCCTGGCCCAGTCCTGGCCTTTGTAGCCATTTGGGAAGTGAACTAGCGGATGGAAGATTCTCTCCGTGTCTCTTCACCTCTCTGTGTAACTCAAATAAAAAATAAATAAATATTAATGAATAAAGAGAGGAGTGACAAATCGATGAATCAATGTAATTCACTCAACAAATACTGAACATCTTCTAGTAAAACAACTGTGCATATAGGATTTGTGGACTCAGCAACAAGTAGTATAGTTACAGTTCTTGCTTTCATGGAGAATAATAATCCAATGCACTATTTACTTACTAATGTGAGAAGTGATATGAAGTAAAAATACAAATGCATTCTGAAACAGGATAGGGAAAATGTTCCTGAGAATATGACCTTTAAGCTGAAGAGTCAAAAGATAGGCACTATCTAAAGGAAACAAATGGGAAAGAGAGAAAGGTCTAAAAGCAGGGACCAAAATATAAATGCTCTGATATGAGTAAAGCTTGTGCAAGTAAATTAATGATAGCCTGGCTCAAGCACTTGAAGCGAACATGAAATATATACAAGATAGGAGTGAAGTTAGGCAGGACATAGACTATATTAAGGATTTCAGACACTATGTCAACAATAAAAATCCATTAGTTTTTACAAGGGAATGATGACATCAGAACGGTTTTGTTTAAAAAAATATATTTATTTATTTATTTGAAAGAGTTACAGAGAGAGAGAAGGAGAGGCACAGAGAAAGAGTATTCTGTCTGCTTGTTCACTCCCCAATTGGCCAAAATGGCAAGAGCTGTGCTGATCCAAAGCCAGGAGCCAGGAGCCTCCTCTCCAGTGTGGGTGCAGGGGCCCAAGGACTTGGGCCATCTTCTACTGCTTTCCCAGGCCATAGCAGAGAGCTGGATCAAAAGTGGAGTAGCCAGGACTCCAATCGGCCCCCATATGAGATGCTGGCACTGCAGGCGGCAGCTTTACCTACTATGCCACAGCGCCGGCCCCCAGAGCTGTATTTTTAAAAGTTTATTTTAATCTTTTTCCTTTTATGAAGAATGAAAAGGCAACATCAAAGGTAAAAGGTAAAGATTACTTTATTAGAAGCACCTTAGTGGAATGGCTGAACAGAAACAGCAGGATGATAAAATGGGGGAGGACAAAAAGTACATAGCAAATGTAAGCAGTTAAGAAATACACCTACAGCTATGAAAGTGGGAGAAAGGACAAGGGCTAAAGATAGATGTGCCACGTCAGACATTGTGGTGCAGTGAGTAAGCCACCTCTGGGTATGCCAGCATCCCAATTGGAGTGACAGTTACAGTCTCAGCTATGCAGCTTCCAATCCAGCTCCTTGCTAATGAATCTGAAAAGTAGCAGAAGATGACTCAACCACTGAGTCCCTGTTAACCCACATGGGAACTCCACTCCTCCTGACTTCAGCTTGTCACAGCTCAAGCTGTCATGGCAATTTGAAGTGTGAACCAGCAGATCAGAAATACTTGTCTCTCCCTCTCTGATACTCTTATCTTTCAAACAAAAAAAAAGTTTTTTAAAAAGAAAAAAGAAAATTATTGACATGAACAGAAAAGATTTTTTAGTTAGTTATTGGCTGTTTAACTGCTTTGAGATAGGAACTGTTTGTATAAGTTTAAATTAAATTATGGAAGGAGGTCAACAGAGTGGAAAAGTTTAAAGATTAAAGGTTAAATGGATTATTAACACTATGAGCTTCCCAAAAATGGTATAATAAAAGATTTACTGAATGTATACTATATACATGACGTTGTGCTAAGCATTTTATAATGATTCACATCATCTAATCTTTTTTTTAATTTTATTTAGTAAATATAAATTTCCAAAGTACAGTTTATGGATTACAATGGATTTTCCCCCATAACTTCCCTCCCACCCACAACCCTCCTATCTCCCGCTCCCTCTCCCTTTCCATTCACAGAAAGATTCATTTTCTAGATCCTTGAGATGCACTGAAAGCTCATTTATTTGGTGCCTTTCCAATTTCTTGATGTATTCACCTTTTGCTATAAACTTTCCTCTTAACACTGCCTTTGCCGTATCCCATAAGTTTTGGTATGTTGTGCTGTTATCCTCATTTACTTCCAGAAAGGTTTTGATTTCTCTTTTGATTTCTTCTATGACCCAGTGTTCATTCAGGAGCATGTTGTTCAATCTCCATGTGTCTGCATATGTTCTAGGGATTCCTGAGTTGCTAATTTCCAACTTCATTCCTTTATGGTCTGAGAAGCTGCATCGTATGTGAGGGAAGCAAGGCCCGGCTCCCACAACATGGCACTGAGAGGGAGTAAACAAGTTCTACACAGTGGCTTCGGCTGCTTTATCAATTTGACTAATGAGTTGCAGGAGCTGACCCAACCTCTGATTGGAAGAAAGCGGCGTGCTCAGCACGTGGGCAGCAGAGCATGGATTGCTGGGAGAGGACTATAAAGGCGAGATGGAAGTGGCGCGGGGGGATTCGCTTATGCGCCACGAGGCGCAGTAGACATCTCACACCACGCGCCAAATGAATAACAAGAATGCGGACACACACCAAGTGGAATGCGGTTAGCACAGGAGCAAACTTGAGCGCACAACACAGAGTCATTCGCTTAAACAGCGTCCGGTCCGGTGTCATTCTCCCGCAAGCCCGCAGAGGAGTGACAGTATGATTCTAATTCTTTTGAATTTGCTGAGACTTGCTTTATGGCCTAGTATGTGGTCAATCCTAGAGTAGGTTCCATGTACTGCTGAGAAGAATGTAAATGCTTTATGTGTAGGATGAAAAGTTCTGTAGATTTCTGTTAGAT